GATCCCCGCGGGGGCGGGTCGCTGTGGTTGGGGAGGCGGCGCCGGCGAGCCAACTCAACGCCTGGGAGCATCATGCCTCCTCTTCGTTCCCCAGCGTTCTGCTAACCTGCGCACCTTCGACCCTCGCCTTGGTACGGTGCGCGGATGCAGGTTGCGAGGAAGATGAAGCGATAATTCTCAAGCAGCGGGACCTCTTAAGATTGAAGGAGACCTGCTGCATTGAAAGTAAAGAGCCCTTGAGATGGCGGGAAATTACGAAAATGCCACCACGTGCATGTCATTGAAACGGTCGAGCACGTCCGTTGAGATTCAAGACGCAAAAAATAGAAAAAATATATATTAAAATGTTTATTTATTTTTTTATCAAATTCATAATGATTTAATATTTTTATGTATTTAATAATAATAGAAATAAATAATTATTTAATATTTAATTCTAGCATAAGTTGAGTTCAAAGTGTTGAACATGTGATGTGCATTCATTTTGGATTAAATTTATTTAGTTGTATTTTTAAAAAAATATCATTATCATATTATATTTTTTAAAATAAAAAATTAAGATTGTGGATTATATGAATGGAATGTAAGAAAATATATGTGAATTGATTTTGTTTGATTTATTTCGTTTGATTATGTTTGATTTTCGGTTGTAATTGCTTGATTTAATTGATTTTGATTATTGGTTCATTTAATTAAATTTTTTTTTTTTTTAAGGATAAGGAAGGGTCAATTGATCAAGGATCAAGATGATTACTACTACACTACCCTTAATTTTGGTTAACTAGGTGTTCTTATTTTTAGCAATTCATGGCTCGATGATATGGGAGGCATATTGGTAATTTGCATTAAAAACTATTGCCAAAGTTATGTCCTACATAATTGATGCGTGCTAGAAAATTCGAGACAATAAAGTAGCAGATTGTCGTCTTAACATGATATGAAGATTCAATACACACTCAGAAAAAAGAAAACAACTAATAATGACACAAGAAGTTTTTATATGAAAAAATCAGAAAGGAAAAAATCACGGGGGCTGGGTCAGCTGAAGAGTTTCACTATAAAAAGCTGATTACAGTTGCAATCATTTGTCCCACAAGCGAGAAAGGCTTTAAAGGTTTTCCAAATTACAACATCGACTGAGGGGTGAGACTCGAATTATAGTGTTCTTGGTACAATTAATGCAAGAATATGAATCTCTCTGATCTAACGGTCCGAAGAATTTTCTTCGATGAAATGTCGTTTGAAGGACATTTGAATGTCTTAACGATGTCGGAGTTGGGCAAACTTGGGCTCGCTAGATTCTTCTTGTTTAGACGCTCAATTTGACTATAATCTTGCTAGATTCGATATTCGTCTGGCCTTCTAAATATGTCCAAAAAAATTTCAAGTTTGGTTTAATAACTTGATCTGAGCTTGATTTGACTCAGATTTACCTAATTTTGGTAACATTAGGTTCTACTTGTCGAGCTAGACAATTTGACTTTAAGTTTACTGAAATCAAAATTCTGGATGTTTTTTTTATCGGGGCTTGAATATTTAATGCTCTAAAAGTCACATCGAGATCTATGTCATGCCTCGAGATTCGTGTTGAATGATCGAAATTTGCTCAAATTGTACAATAATAATAACTTCTAATATTATGGGCTCTAGGAGGGCAAAAAAATAAAAATTATGGTCATTAATTGTTGCTAGAGAAAATTGCCAAATATCAACACAAATTTATAACAATATTATTTCATAACAAATGTTTTTAACATAATTGTGATATTGGAGATGTGTCACTTATTGTAATGCCATACATCTCTGACCAATTTATGATAAATGCCATGCCTTAGATTAGAGATTAAGGGTGTGTTTGGGATAGTTTTTACGTTTCAGGATAAGCAGCTTATTCTGAAACGCTGCCCGCGAGGTTCGACCCGCGACCTGCATTTAGTGTAAAAATGAAGCCGCATTTTTGGATAAGCGGGCAAAACACGTGATTCAAACGGCAGCGCGGCGTTTTAAAAAACTTCCCCGCACTTATAAGCTGCCCCAAACGGGCCCTAAGTTATGATAACAATTAGATCCTGAATAATAATAATAATAATTACTTAAGTCAAATCAGCTCTTAACAACTATGTTTATGGAGATATTCACAAACGACTCTATAAATAATTACAATAAAAGGTTGAAAAGCCCAATTAGTGGACTTAAATAATATTATCATTTATTTTAAAATTCAATTTGTGCTCAGATCGTTTTTCCCCAAATTAATTAAATAATTTAATAAATAATAATATTATTTATTTTATTTAAACATTTAAATGCTATATTTAATATTATAAATATATTTTTTCAAATGATTAAAATTAATTTCTGAGTCCAACATAAACTCAAACGAATGAATAAATCTAAATTGAGTCCAACAAGAATAGAATATGCTACTACGAGGGTCATTCCAAACATGAGTGTATTTAAATAAAAAGCACCCCAATCTTTAGGTAGGGGTGTAAACGAGTCGAACACGAGCTAGCCCATGTTTAGCTCGTTTTGGGCTCTTTTGTTTGGGGAGCCGAAAAAGAGCCGTTCACGAACAAATAGTCCATTTGACAACCCTAATCACATAGCCATCAGATATTAAGGATTGGGGCAAGATTTAAAACATCATTTGAATCTAATTTAATAATTTTTATTATATTTTCTTCATTAATACTTTTAATTGCTTTTAAATCTCTGCAGCCTTGTAGTCAATAAATTTTTTAAAAAAGACTACTCATCAAATATATATATATATATAATTGATTAGTAGTATTTCAAACTAAAATGTCTCGAACACGAACGAACAAATATTAGTTCGTATTCGGCCCCGTATTTTTAAAAATGTTAAATCATAAAGTAAAAGCCACGCTACGCTTATTTGGTATAAACAATTCCTTAGTTTCTTTTTCTTACCTAAAAGAGTTTCTTTTTCCTACCTAAAAAGCGCACGACTAGCCAGCGATGGCATATCCGTAGATAAGATTCATAGCGAGGGTGTTTGTGTAAATGTGTAATAGGGAGGAAGCTTCTCGGCAATCCCTCTGAGTGGCAGAATCCCGCGGGGGAAAATAGCCCACCACCTACTCACCGGGCCCACGCAAATTTATTTCGATAATGCCACTAGCCTATCAGCTCATTACACGTGGCATTGCATTCATTAGTTGGACCCACTTGAGAATCCACGTCGTCCAACTTGCCGGCTCGGCGTTGATGGTAGGGATCTATAATTTCTTGAAGGGTGTATATATATATAATGTCGCGAAACCTACACTATTTGGCATTCACGGTATAAGACTCATCAGGTTAGGAGTTCGAACTCTTTCTGACACAGTTAACATTAAAGAGTTGGTACTCGAATTATTAGACACATTTGGGATAAATAGAGACTCGTATAATATCCTCTGACTATTCCTTTAAATTACACACACACTCATAACAACTAATTCCTATGATTAGGTTTAGATGAATACATACATAATAAATCAGGGACGTGTATGTACATTTTCCAACAAAATAAGGTATTTACATACATAATACCTAAGTCTTATGTATTTACAAATTAAAAGCTTAATCTTTAGCGAACGATAGTCTGAACATTGAGCGAGGCAACAATTAACAAGTGAAAGTATGAAACGTGATAGCATTTTGTGGGAAATCACATGGGAGGGTAAGGGAGACGAAGGCAAACATCAGGGTAAAATGACTTTACGCTTGATAGTGGCCGAGTTTTAAATGCGGAGATTATAAATTGTTTTCAGATTTTATAATTCGGCGGGACTTTTATTTTACTTTACTGTTGTTAATTGCTGAACAACAAAAAATTAAATCTCATGTATTTATTTTACTTTACATTCGTTTTACTTCAAACCAAATGACCCCTAAAAAATTTAACAAAAATATGATTAAAAAACATTTAATGAATATTTTTAGAGTATTATTTATGTGCTTAATGGCAACCTATTTTTTGGATTCAAATTTGTCCAATAGAGATAAGGCTATCAAAATTTGACTCGAGACACATCAGCTTGACTAAAATTGAACTAAAATATTTAGGTTTGGATTCGAGTTGACCTAAATAATTTTCAGGTTGGTTTCGTGTTATGAATTCATTAAATTTATTTGGTTTGGTTCTATTGATCCCGCCAACTTATAATTGACACAAAATGATCTATTAGCTCGAAATAGACTCAAAATCACTTTTTAAATAAAAATGGCTTGAGATTTATTTGAAATTGACATTACTTTCGCCCTAGTAGCTATTGTTTATTATGTTAAATGGCTTATACATGTTTAATTAAAATTAGCATGTTGAAAGTAGGTCGGACTATGTTTAAACATTCTAACCCATTTAATATTCAATTTGGGTTTGGGCCAAGTAGTTTCAGGTTAGCCAATTTCGAGTGAGACATGAACTAAATTAGTAAACCTTATTAGTGAAAGTAGGTCGGACCCTGTTTAAACAGTCTGAGATAGATGTACCTCCTAAATAAAAACACTCAATAGAAACAATGCAAGGCTATTATTGTTATTGCTCATATGATCTCTTTATTGTATGTATTGTACTTTTCACATTTGTACATGTGACTCCTATTTATATATGAAGCTATTATAATTGAATACATGAATAAAAATTTAATAAATAATTGATGGCTTATGATACTTATGTGTATTTTAAGATGCATACAAATTTGTAATGTCCCCTATGGTTTAAATGATGTTTTAATACTCTTGGTAATTGTGTGATTAAATGAGTCAATGAGTAAACATAATGAATAATAAGTTGACGCCAAACTATCTATGGTTAGGGCTCGAGCTAGTAGTTATCTTATCTTTGAGCAAGTTGCTAAATGAATCCGATAAGCTTTTGTGAGCCCTAGGCGGATAGAAGAGTTTCTGACGATGCTGTACTTGTTTAACTAAAGTCTACATAATTGATCCACACTAACTCATGGGCTGACTTCACGAGTTAATAGTTATGACTCGATCTATCACAAAGTAGATTTGGGCTGATGGGTTAGAGGGTCTGACCTAACCTATATCAATATCTCTTTTCTACATATTAAGTTTCTCAAAGCTTTCTACAAAAATAATAAGAGAATTAAATTCATCAAATGAACATTTATTAATCATGTAGTTCTTGAAGTTAATGATGAAATGACACACTTTTTTCTTATATTCCTTTTATCGCCTATGTAAGTG